GAGGTGCTCAGGGCAGAGGGTCATTATTCAATAAAATGAGTTTTTAAAGAGAAAGAACTGCCTCTTGTGCCCTTGACTGGAGAGTGCAAATACAGGATGCACTTCTGCCTGAGTGGGATAGCTGGGAATGGATAAAGGAATGGACATCCTTTGGAAAAGTTTTTGAGTCCCCTCCCCCTATCATGAATTAATGTTTTTCTTTTGACATTTCCAGTGTTCAAGGAGCCTGGGCTTTTGAGCCCTTGGCCCCTATGGGCGACTCATACTGTGGCAGCAGCTGCCCCACCATGGAGCATTGTAATTCCGAACGCCAATGCAACCAGAGCCTCTCTGTAGTCCCTTTCCCTTTAGAGGACAGGCCTGACCGGGAGGGTGTCACACCCTGTGACGACTTGACCCCTGAGGATCCTTCTTCCCTCCCTCCTGTCCAAGGGGCAGGGGGAACCAATGAGGTAACAGGACCCATGGGAGGAAGAAATGAAATTCCGGAGAAGCCAGAGGAGCTTGGTGAAGAGGAGAAGGATGAGACCATGAATGGCGAGGTGTGCAGCCTCTTCGACTACTCAAAAATGAAATGGGCTGAATGGGAGGAAGATGAGGAGACTATGTACGATTCAGACGAGGAGACAAGATGCCGGGGCGTCTGGGAACTGCTTTTTGTGGTGAAAATTGCTGCGGCAGGTCTAGACAAGTCGAAGAAGGTCAGAGGTCACAACTCTCTGTTCACTGTTCCTCCTATCCTCCAGCCGTCCAGCAGTGTCTCTTATTATATGGATCAGGTCACTCCTGAAGAACATGAGACTTGTCAGGACTTGCCCAAGTGTCAACGAGCAGAAAATGGAGACCGCAAGCAGTGTCCTGGGCTTGAGGAGGATGAAACTATTGTGGTGAGCACAGAGCTGCCCACCTGCAGAGGAAGGACAGGCCCAGTGGGGGTGCCAGGTGGGACAGCATGGAGTCCTTGTACCTGCTGTGAAGCAGAGGAGGACCCCAGTGTCTGGGCAGATGAGCAATGGGAGAAGGTCTTCAGCCAGGAAAGGGGTCAGGGAAGAGGTGTTGGGGAAATGCCAGGGAGCTCTGAGAGAGAGAGAGGGGAGGACAGAGAGAAGCACCATACAGACCAGTGTGTGTGCCTGTGTGTGGCTTTAATGTGAGTGAGTCCTGAAACTTTGCATTGACAGTTGGCTCATTTAGGTAAAAACATAATTTGGAAATCCATAAATGAGTAATATTGGCCCCATTGCTGCTGACCCTGAATGTCTCTAACTCCTCCTCTTTGTCTTGGCAGATGGAAAGCCAGGAGCCTGGAACTTCAAAGAGCTCCCCAGTGTCAGCCTTGCAGTCAGAGGAGGGGGACCTTCCTTCAGATAAAGAAGGCACCTCCTGCCTGAATTTCCGGGGCTTCTTCCACTGGCTCAGGAAGAGAGTGGTATCCTCCCTGCCAGGGAGAAAGCGCCGTGAGAGGGCCAGCAAGGTGCCATTCTCCTGCCACTAAAGAAAAGACATTTGGTTGGAGGCCACAGTCTCCAACCTCAAGAATCCCTCTAGTTCAGAACCCTATGCACCCAGAATTTTAATTGATTCCCCCGCCCATGTTGTAGAGTTAGCATGGTTTTCTGTTTTCCTAATAAAGTTCTTGTTTTGCATTTCTTCCTCCTCTTCCATCATAACATCTGGGCCCAGGTTGAAAGTAGGTAGGTAGACC